GTTATTTGTGAAATTTTTGATGTTTGGGGTATCGATTTCATGGGCCCATTCCCTCCATCTTTTGGCAATCTGTACATATTGGTTGCAGTGGACTACGTCTCGAGGTGGGCAGAAGCTCAAGCCATGCCCACCAATGATGCAAGATGAGTCTGCTCCTTTCTGAAGCAGCTGTTCTCCCAGTTCGGGACACCCCGCACCATCATTAGTGATAGAGGAATCCATTTTCAAGGGCAATTCACTAAACTCCTCTCTCGCTATGGTGTTAAGCATCAGGTGTCGGTGGCCTACCATCCCCACTCAAATGGGCAGGCCGAGCTGACGAACCGGGAGCTAAAACGAATTATTGAAAAGACGGTGGATCAGTCCCGCAAGGATTGGTCCACCAAGCTCGATGATGCTCTTTGGGCGTATAGGACTGCCTATAAAAATCCGATTGGCACTTCTCCCTATAGGCTTGTCTATGGGAAGGCGTGCCATTTGCCGGTAGAGCTAGAGCACAAGGCCTTCTAGGCCATTAAGCTGCTAAACATGGATTTGAGTGTTGCAGGTACAGAACGTAAGTTGCAGCTGCTGGAGTTGGAGGAGTGGCGTTACCACGCCTACGAGAACACCTTGCTCTACAAGGAGCGCACCAAGCGTCTCCACGACGCTCGGTTGAGGGGCCCGAAAGAGTTTCAGGTAGGTGATCGTGTTCTGCTTTTTGATGCACGCCTGAAACTCTTCCCGGGTAAGCTCCGTTCGAGGTGGTCGGGTCCCTTCACGGTCACCCAAGTTTTCCCGCACGGTGCGGTGGAGATCAGCAATGCTCAAACCGAGCCATTCAAGGTGAATGGCCACCTCCGAAAGCTGTATTTGGGAGGTGCTGTCGAGCGCGCAGAGCTGCTGATCAAGCTCGAGGACCCTTAGTTCCTCTACCGGCGTCCAGCTAAAAGACGGTAAAGAAGCGCTTGTGGGGAGGCAACCCCACCTAGGTTTGCATTTTCTTACCTTTTTCTTTTTGATTTTTTGTGTTTTTTGAGTCTTGAGGGGTTTTTCACGAGTTGTATGTCGTTCTGGAGTGAAAACAGGTCATTTTCGGAGTTCTGGCAGCTCACACGGCCAACCCTGAATGTCACACGGCCGTGTGGAAAATAATGTTGGCCGTTTGAGCTCTCGCAGAATTCCGCACGGCCAGATGAGATGTTGGCACGGCCGTGTGGAAAGTTGCCCTGGCCGTGTCTGCTCTCGCATAATTTGGCACGGCCAAATGAGCACTCGGCACGGCCGAGTGAAATTTCTCGGCCAGCCCGTGTTGGCCGACACGGGCAGAAGTGCTGTTGACACGGCCGTGCGAGCCAGGCCGTGTGGCCGAGACACGGCCTATATATTCGGCCAGCACGGCCGGGTCATCAGAAATTTCAAAATCCTCGCCGGAATCCTCTGAACCTCGCCGGAAAACCGCGACAAAACCCCCCTTTTCGATTTTTTCGGCCATTTTTTGTCATTTTTCCACTAAACCAACAACAAACCCACCCTTCCTACACTAAAAGCGGCTTATCCCTCCATTTTGGGGAGATTTGGCCGACGTTTTTGTCGCCGGAGGCGATTTCCGGCGAGACTCCGGCGAGGCTCCGACGAGCACTTTCGGGCACTTTTTCGGCTTTTCGTTGCTTCCATCGCCTTCCCCTCATCATCCCCTACACCTCTACTTGAGTGTCCAGGTTTGATTTTCCCCTTAACTATGTTAATTGTGGAGAATTGGGTGTTAGGGTGCATGTTTAGAGAACCTCATTGAATCTTGTGATTTTTGTGCAATTGATTGAGGGGAATGCATGGAGTGTGTTTGAATTGTGTTGGGCAAAGTCCCTCTTGATTGTTTGAGCCCTTGTGTGCAAGAATTGTGCCAATTTCATGCTTACCTTAATAGTGCACACAAGGTATTCGATGAAATGCCTGTTTTCGTACCATATTGTGGGGGTCGGTTGGGGCCCTTAATGATGTGCTTTGAGGGTGTATTTGGTATGGATGTGAACCTTATCGAGTTTCTAACCCCCGAACTATGGATGAAACCATGGTTAGGCTGTTTTCTGTTCTTTAGTGTGGGGGTGTGATTAACATTTTTCTTGGCTGTTTTGGTTCCACTTTGGGCTGTTCTTTTGCAGGACCATGTCGAAGCCCAACCTCCGGCATCAGTATGTTCAAGATTTGAGACGGGGGGCCCACCGGGATCGTTTTCAGAACGTCCTGGCCTGCAAGTTTGGGCAGCATCATTACTGGTCGAAGCGCGAGTTGGAGAAGCTCAACTGCTACGAGCACCTCTCCCCCGTTGTCACCAACAAATACTGGCGCCGCCTACTCAGCATCCGCGCGACGGTTTACCATGAGCTCGTGCTTGAGTTCTACACTACCTTCAAGCACGCAGCCACGGCCGATTGGAAGGACAAAGCTGCAGTCTAGTTCCGACTCGACGGTGAACCACGCTCCATGAGTTACGACGAGCTGGCGGATGCCCTTGGCCTCAACCTGGTCAATGACAGGACCTTCATCACCGAGATCGCCGAGCCAGCAGGGGTGGACTTCGGGAGGCTGTACTTCAGCCTCGCTCGGCCACGTCAGCTTCCCTTCATGGCGGGGAAGACGAAGGCCAGCACATTGCAGCTTGAAAACCGTCTCCTCCATCACATGCTGGCCAAGTCTTACACCCCAGCCTCAGACAGTGCCAACGCCATCACCAAGAGATCCCTGTACTTCATCCAGTCCATGCGCCAGAGGGATCATCCCCTACACTTGGGCTCGGTGGTGGCGAGGACCTTCGAGAAGAGTGCTTCTGAGCTGAAGAAACTCCACTGCACTCCCCTCATCACCTGCCTGGCAGAGTACTTCCAGATATCCCTGCAGGGATGCACAGAGCAGGGAGAGACCACTCCCTTTGGCAGGGATACGCTCACCAAAATGCTCCTGCTTCGAGAAGAGCGAGGTGTCATGTGGATCGAGGGGTTTCCTCAACCTCAGATCCCAGAGGCGGTCCAGCAGGAGGTTCCAGAGGGTGCAGCTGATGTGGAGGTCCAGCCCGAGGACGTGGATGACACTGCTGCCGCCCGCCCCACCACCTTCGAGTACGGGGGTGGCAGTTCCAGTTTCCCGGGGCAGGATTACTTCACCTCCTAGTTCGAGCAGCTGCGTCTCCAGAACCAGCAGATCCTCGACCATCAGATGCAGTTCCAGCAGCAGTACGCGGCTGACCAGGCCGAGTACCACCAGAGGATGGCGGGTTACGATGAGAGATTGGACCAGCTCCAGACCCAGCAGGGAGTGACTCTCGCACACATCGAGCGGGAGAGGCGCCGCTCTTGGCCATGCAGGAGGTACAGGGGCATCTGCTCCAGCTGCTACCGGGCGAGCAACCAGTCTGGAGGACTCCCTGGGAGGACTCTCCACTTCCACCTCCCCCAGCGGATGGTGATGATGGTGCTGATGGTGGTGACGCCTTCATGAACAACATCGTCTTCGATCTGGACAACCTCGCGACGAGTAGGCTGTACTCGTTGCCCCTCTCAGTGTGTTATGTTTTTCGTTTTAGACTTGTGTGTGTTTGCTCCATGTGTGAGGAGCTTGAACTTAGTGTCGTTTGTTTTTGTTTGTTTCTTTTGTGGATTGTTTTTGCTGTAGCCGTCTGGGCTAACACTTATCCCTAACACAACGTGTGCTAGTGTGTTCTTGGTGTTCGATTCGTGCAGAACTGTCCATCTTCCCGTTTGTTTCTCGCTGACTGGTCCACTTCCAGTCCCCCAGCAGTTTCAATCCGGTAACATCGTTCCCCTTATCTCTCCCTCTGCTCCATTGAGGGCAATGTCGTGTTTAAGTGTGGGGGGGGGGGGGGTGCTTTGTATCGGTTGGAATGTATATATGTGTGCTTGGAGCCTAGTCCACTGTCCAAATCTCGAGATTTGAGGGCTCCAAGTACTGCTGTTTGATCATATTGCCACTGTGTTTTGATTGATGTATTGAATGGTTTTCGGATTGATGCATGACAGCTTGATTGTGACTAGGACAACCTATGATGATGACTGAGACGTGCAGTAGAATTGTGTAGGGGTTCAGTTTTTCAACTGTTTGCTTACCAACTGTGACTTGGATTGATTACTTGTTCTTGACAGTCTCTTATGCATCTAGTTCAGGGTATCAGAATGTGAGATAGAGCATATAGGTAGCCATGTGAGATTTGAGCCTGCTCGTTTCTTTCTTGTGCGATAGATCCCTCTTCCATGATGTGTAGCATTCACATTGTCACTAGCTAGGATGATGGGGGCATAGGATTAGCCCACGACCAAATTTGACTGTCCTGATGTGTCATATCCCCTAGTCAGCCCTTTTGAGCCGTGTGTTATCCCTTTCTTTTGGTCTGAAATGAAAAAAATCACCCTGTTTACATCTTTTAGAAGGTTCCACAGAGTGGTTTTTACATATTCTCTGCTGTTTCTGCTAAATTTGATGTGAGTGTTGGAGGTAGTGCTTAAAAGTTGAGCTGGGCATGTGTTTGAAATATATGCAGAAGTGGTGGCTCTCTTAAGAAATGAAAAGAAAATGAAAGAAAAACAAAGAAAAATTGAAAGCAAAGAGAGCCACTACCAAAAATCTGAATAATGCCCAGTAAGTAGTGTTTCTTAGCAGTCTGGCTTGGAAATGCTGACATTTATACCTCCTTCGCTCTTGTGCTCTTGAGATATTGCGTAATGCAGAATAGCAGAAAGGAATTACCGGTTTGTTTGACTGTGATTGTTTGGGTTTGGAAATGTGGAACCTTGTGCTATGAATACTTACACCACCTAAAAGGCCTTTTCCCCATGTCCAAGACCCTAGCCACTCATTTGAACCTGTGTCTAAGACCTCCTGATTAGTTAGTGGTGACACCCCATATGTGAACTCTAGCATTTAGAGGCTGCCATCATGGTGAAGAGATGTTAGGGATTGAGAGAAATAACATGCGCATTTTTCGCATCAAATTGTCCTGACCCCACTGGTCGAGAGTGAGTGATTCATTTTCATATCTATATACTCTTGTACCCCGGTGAGGACCTAGATTGCTCGGTCTCTATTCTGATGTCTTGAGTTGGATGCATGAGTTGACTGTTTTGAGTAAGTGGTTGAGTCAAGTCTAGGTTGGTTGGTGAACAGAAGGGAGACTCTTCCTTTACTCGATTTTGATGCACTCGAATGTCCTTTGTGGTGGTTGTCCAGGTTGCTGTTGAAGTTGGTCATGTATTGATGTTTGAAAACCAGTACGATTCACGTGTTCTGTGCCTTTATGACTTGTCCCCAATGTTGGTTGATTGAAATATGTGAGCTTACCTTGTGTCTGACTTGGTTTGCTTGGGGACAAGCAAACGGTTAAGTGTGCGGGAGTTTGATAGACCGTTAATTACACATGTTTTTACCCTGTTCTTACACCGTTTGAGATGTGATTTCTCGTGTTTTAGACCGATTTCACGCTAGGTTGTGCTTGTTTGTGATATTTCAGGTCCTAGTACGTGAATGGAGGCTTGGGAGCGAGTTTGGGGTCAATTGGACGAAGATCGGGCGCGAGGCAAGTCAAAAAGGAGGCCACACGGGCACACCCACAACTCACACGGCCGTGCAAGTGACCACTTTGGCCGTGTGAGATTGTGCGAGAGCAAACACGGGCTGCCCTGATGTTCACACGGCCGTGTGAAGGGGTGACCTGGCCGTGCGAGTTTCGCCGAGAGCAAACACGGGCAGATAGAATTCTCACACGGCCGTGCGACCCTGGACGTGTGAGAAGCCTGAAGATCGAACTAATTGGAACGCAGCGTTTTGACTCACACGGGCAACTGGGTATGCCACACGGCCGTGTGGCCCTGCCCGTGTAAGTTGGGAATTCCTGGTTTTAACCCAATTCCGGGCTGCAAGAGAGAGGATCGGACTTTTTGAGCAAAAACAGAGCCCTAGAGAGAGAAAGGACGAAGAACACATCCTATAAGCCATCTTGGAGCTGGGTTTCATCAAATCAAGCTTGGAGATCGTCATAGGAGTGGAAATCATCATCCCAGAGCAGATTCTTCCCATAATTATGAGTATGATTGCTTTGTATCTTGTTCTCTTCTCTCTCTCTATGGAGTAGAACCCCTCTCTCACTTGGGGATGAAGAACCCTAGTTCTATGTGTTAGGGATTGATTGTAATGACTTGGGATGATATTACTGTTTGATTTTAATCGAATGATGCATGTTTATTGAGTCAATTGAAGTCTGATCAACTTTTCCTGATTCCTGCTGCAATCTGAGATAGATAGAATCTGATTAGGTTGCTAGAGTCTCATCATTCGATAGTAGGAGATTGGCTATACGAGAGTTAGCCAGTTGACTGCTTTGTACTGGAATCCAATTCCAGTAGTGGAGTTCTGTTCTTACTGCTTCAGCTTTCTATCCCGGTGAAGATTAGTCGTCTGCCGGGTAGATAGACTGAGAGGGCTTGGTCAGCTTAAGAGATTCCAAGCTACTGTCGGATCTTCCGCAGTCTAATCAACAGTAAATCAACCCAGGGAAATACAATTGAAACCTAACTAAGGAGCTAGGGGGACTCATTCCCGAGTGACTCTTTCCTGCTTGAGAAAACCGTATCAATTCCTGCTTTATTTCTGCTTTTGCTTTTCAACAACAACCACTTACTTTAGTTGGCCAGATAACAGAGAATCACTGAGTAAGCAGTAGATCTAGACCCCGGGTTGATAATGTAACTTGCCTGTTACCGCATTCCCGGTCTGCGATTACACTTGGTCGCAGATTGGTGTTGTGTTTTGGCGTGTCAAGAAAGCACGGCCGTGGCCACCAAAGCACGGCCGTGTCCATCATGAAACACGCCCGTGTTTCCCCCAATGCACTGGCCGTGTAATTAACCCTAGCCAAAGCACGGGCGGGCTGAGGCATTACACGGCCGTGCCCTCGACCGTGCTTTGGCCACTGATGCCCTTTTAAGCAGATTTCAGCCAAAACAGAAGGGGATTCGAGTTTTGAGAGAGATAGAGCGATTCCTAGAGAGAGAAAATGACGAACAAGAGTCTCCAAGTGCCCTAGATTGATCTTCATCACCATTGGAGGCCAGTTTGAGCTTGGAGAAGTGCCGATCAACGTCTAGAAGCAGGAATCCATCCTTCACAGTATGAATTCCGCGTCTGATTCTGCTTTTGCTTCTTTCTCCATGGAGTAGTTCTCCCATTCATCTGGGTATGGAGAACCCTTGATTTGTATGTTAGGTTTGATTGTATGAACCCAAGTACTGATTCTATGATTTGGTTATATTCGATTGAGGCTTGAATGATTGAATGACTTGAATCCTGATCAAATTCCTGTTGTTTCTACTCTAACCTAGAATGAGAATATCTGCCTAGGTTGATAGAGCATCCTTGATTGAAGGTAGGGAGTTGGTGACTTTAGTCGAGGAGCCAACTCACTATTCTGTACCGGATTCACTTCGGTAGTGGAGGTTTTGTTCATAGGGCCTCAATCTGTTTACTCCGGTGGAGGTTAGTCGCCCGCTAGAGACTCAGATTGAGAGGGTCTGAAGACCTTTAGTCGAGACTTTAGGCTGTTTAAGAACCTTCCGCAGCATAACTATCATAGAAACTGAACTTGGTAATTGCAATCCGGCTTAACTGCAGTCTAGGGGGAACCATATCCGGGTGACCTCTCTTAACCTGAATACAACAGTTTACTTGCTTTGTTTGTTTGGTAGTTTAGACTTGCATTAAAGTTTCATTGCTAGATAACAAGAATTAACCGAGTAGTCATCAAATCTAGGACCCGGGTTGACATTTAAACCTAAACCCGCTATACTACGCTTTAGGAAGTGGTTACACTTGGCCAATTCCTAGGGTGACAGTAGAGGTGAGTCAAGTTTTTGGCGCCGTTGCCGGGGAACAGCTAGGTTGTTGAAGAAAAGTGATTTCTGTTAATTTAGCTTTTCTTTTTGCTTTGTTTGCTTTGTCCCACTTGTGCCTTCACGGGTTTGCTTGCTTGAGTGTGTGCAGGTAGTGCATGACCCGTAGCCAGTCAGGAGGTTTACTGCCGTTGAATCCAGAGATTGATCGCATCTGTCGCCAGCTCAGGAGACAACAGCGAGCTAGACTGGCTACGGAAGAGCGCATAGACGGCCACCTGAGTAGCGATTCTGAAGAAGAGCACGGGATGGACGGAGACTACAATCAACACCAGGGGAATCCGCAGCAGGTTCCCCCGGTGAATCAGGTCCTGGGGGACAACCCCATACCCCAGGATCATGGGGTTCATCATCCACCGCAGCCGGGTCCCACCTTGGAGTACTACTACACTCCACGGATTGCTGACATCCGCCCGGTCATCCTCTACCCGCCTATTCCAGCAAATAACTTCGAGATCAAGCCATGCTGGATTCAGCTCATTACATCCTCTATCCAGTTCCATGGCTTGAAGGATGAGGAGGCAAGGGTGCATCTTTCCCGTTTTCTGCATCTGACGAACGGGTTCAAGCTGAATGGTGTCCCGGATGATGCAATCCGCCTTCATCTCTTCCCCCATTCTCTGGCGGGGAATGCTAAGAGGTGGTTGGAGACCCAGCCCCCATTGTCCATCACCTCTTGGGACGATCTAGCTGACAAATTCGTGCACAGGTACTATCCGGCATCGAAGACTACCGAGATACAGCGGGAGATCACTCACTTCCGCCAAGAGCCAGATGAGTCACTTCGTGATGCATGGGAGCGGTACATGGGATATTTCTGGCAGTGTCCCCATCATGGCTTTAGTGATGCATTCACAGTGGGGAACTTCTACAGTGCTCTCTCTCCAGAAAGCCAGAGGGTGATTGAGTCTCTATGCCTAGGAGGGGATGTTCTTACTAAGACTCCACCAGAACTGAACCATATGATTAATACTTTGGCTGCCAGAGATCATTCCTGGGGACTGAGCAGCAGAGGCAGACAGTCCCGGGACCGTGGTGTGCACGCCATGGAGACCAGATCCGGGCTCGAGCAGCAGGTAGCTGAGCTAGTGCAGACATTGAAGCAGCCCAACAGTCTTATTCCGGGCAGAGGTTTGGCTACACCTCCAGTTGCTCAATGTCAGTGGCGTGAGAGCTCGAATCACTTAGTGGTAGACTGCCAAGCTATGAGGGAGTCCCCTCGACGCGTACAACAACACCTATAATGAGGGGTGGCGCCAGCATCCCAACTTCTCTTGGGGCAGCAACACCACTAAGCCACCTAATTTCCCAGCACCAGCTGGTGGCTTTCAGCAGAGGCAGCCCTTCCAGGCTCGACAGGGGCCACCCCCACAGTAGCAGCCCTACCAGCCTAGGCAGGGGCACCCATTCCAGCAGCCCCAGCGCCAGTTCGCCGAGCCAGCAGCAGCTCTAGCTCCAGATACTCAGATGACGAAGCTGGAAAATATTCTAGCTTCATTCATGACTAGCACTCAGGCAGCTATCATGTCACTGGAGGCAGGTCAGAGGAACCAGGGTGCCATCTTGCAAGATCTGCAGAACCAGGTGGGTATCTTGGCCCGCCAGAACACCACCAGGGCACCGGGGACTTTGCCTGCCACCACTGTTCCGAATCCTCGTGATCCTAACCAGCTCCAGCAACTTGATGCCATCACTACCAGGAGTGGCAAGACCACATCAGCTGCTCCTGCCCAGCCCAGTCGAGATGAGCCACTACCTGCTTCAACACTTCCAGCTGATACTGCAGAAGTGGGGGAAGACACAACAACGCCTGCTCCCAAGCCACAGCCAGTGGTTAAGGAGCATGTACCTCAGCTTCCTTTCCCCACTCGCCTGCATAAAGACAAGCTGGAGACTGAGTTTGCCAAGTTCATGGCAATGTTGAAGCAGGTCAACATCAGCATGCCGTTCGTGGAGGCACTGTCAAAGATGCCCAAGTATGGCAAGTTCATGAAGGACCTCCTCACCAACAAGAAGAAACTTAGGGATCTTTCGACAGTGATGCTGAGCGAGGAGTGTTCTGCCATCCTGCAGAACAAGCTGCCCGAGAAGCGAAAAGACCCAGGGAGTTTCACTATCCCTCTTGTTATTGGCAGCATGCATGTAGGAAAGTCCTTGGCGGACCTAGGCGCGAGCATAAATGTCATGCCTTATAATTTGTTTAAGAAGCTAGGCCTAGGTGAACCTAGAACTACTAGGATGAGCATTCAGTTAGCTTATCGTTCTATCGTGCATCCTAGGGGTATCATTGAGGACTTGCTTGTTAATGTGGGTGCATTCACATATCCTGTTGACTTTGTTATTTTGGATATAAATGAGGATGTGGATGTACCTTTGATTTTAGGTAGACCGTTTCTCGCCACCACCAAGGCGCTTATTGATGTGCATAGTGGTAAATTGATTCTGCGTGCTGGTGATGAACATGCTACCTTTTCTGTGTCTGAGAATGGGAAACACTCTCAGTTGCATGATGACATAGATTACTGTGATATGCTTGCTGATTTTGAGACCGCACTCGCTATAACGAGTGCGGGTACTGACGATGTTCTTGAGCGTTGTATTTTGCTAGGAGAGCAGGCATCGCAGGAGCCGCAGCTGGCGGAGCAGTTGGCCGAGTTGGAGAGTGGCCCCTTCTTGGAGGGTGACAAGATGTTCAAACCGATCTCATCCTCTACCCGCATCACTACTTCCTTGGAGGAACCACCAGAGCTGGAGCTTAAGCCCCTCCCTCCTCATTTGGAGTATGCATTTCTCCGGGAGGGGAATAAGCTGCTAGTTATCATCAGCTCGACCCTCACACCCGAGCAGAAGACCAGACTGGTGACCTTGCTAAAGCGATACGAGCGAGCTCTCGCATGGAAGATCACAGACATCCGGGGGATCAGCCCTTCTTTCTGCTCCCACCGGATACTGATGGAGGATGAGATGCGGCTAGTGAGACAGCCGCAGAGGAGACTGACACCGAACCTGGAGGCTGTGGTTCGGGCAGAGATCGTGAAGCTGCTGGACGCGGGGATCATCTTCGCCATTTCCGACAGCGAGTGGGTCAGTTTCACCCAGGTGGTACCCAAAAAGGTTGGGATGACTGTGGTGCCTAACGAGAAGAATGAGCTGATCCCGATGCGCACGGTGACTGGGTACCGTGTCTGCATTGATTACCGGCGTCTCAACGATGCCACTCGGAAGGACCACTTCCCGCTACCATTCATTGATCAGATGCTGGAGAGACTGGCGGGGCACGAGTTCTACTGTTTTCTGGATGGGATGTCCGGATACTTCCAGATCCCTATTGCACCGGAGGACCAGGCGAAGACCACTTTCACCTGCCCCTTCGGCACCTTTGCTTACCGGAGAATCCCATTCGGGCTATGCAATGCCCCGGCCACTTTTCAGCGATGCATGCTCGCTATCTTTGACCGTCTGGTCGGCGAGATTATGGAGGTGTTTATGGACGACTTCTCGGTTTATGGAGACTCATTCTCTCACTGTCTCCATAACCTGGAGCTTGTCCTTAAACGGTGTGAAGAAACGAACCTGGCACTGAGTTGGGAGAAGTGTCACTTCATGGTTCGAGAAGGCATAGTTCTTGGGCATAAGATCTCCAAGATGGGGATTGAGGTGGACAGAGTGAAGATCGAGACTATCAGCAAGCTGCCTCCTCCTACATCTGTTAAGGGGATCCGGAGTTTTCTTGGTCATGCAGGGTTCTACAGGCGATTCATCAAGGATTTCTTGAAGATTGCTCTGCCCCTGACTAAGCTTCTAGAGAAGGATGCCCCCTTCCAGTTCACTGATGCATGCACAGCGGCTTTCACGACCTTGAAGGAGAAGCTCACACAAGCTCCTATCATGGTTGTTCCTGACTGGTCCCTGCCATTTGAGATTATGTGCGATGCCAGTGACTTTGCTGTTGGAGCTGTGTTGGGGCAGAGGCGAGATCAGCATTTCCGACCTATCTACTACGCCTCGAAGACCTTGAATGATGGCCAGGAGAACTACACCACCACGGAGAAGGAGCTGCTCGCGGTGGTGTTTGCCTTCGATAAATTTCGTCCTTATTTGGTCTTGTCCCATGTGACCGTGTATACAGATCACTCCGCGATTCGATACTTGATGAGCAAGGCTGATGCCAAGCCTAGGCTCATACGATGGATCTTACTGCTGCAAGAGTTTGACATTGAGATTCGGGACAAGAAGGGAGCGGAGAATGTTGCTGCCGATCACCTCTCCCGGTTGGACGCACCCCCTGCGGACAACCTCGAGGAGGAGATCAATGACTCCTTTCCAGATGAGAGACTGATGATGATTTGCCTGGTGGAGAGTGTCACCCCCTGGTATTCTGATTTTTCAAATTATCTTGTGGGCCAGCAGTTGCCCAAGGGGATGACAACTCACGCCAAGAGGAAGTTTTTCTCCGACCTGAAGTACTACTTCTGGGATGACCCTCATCTCTTCAGGATCGGAGCCGACAGGATCATCCGTCGATGTGTTATGGAGAGTGAGATGGAGGGCATTCTAGCTCACTGTCATGAAGGACCTGCTGGCGGACACCACGGAGGAAACCGCACGGCGAGGAAGGTGCTCCAGTCGGGCTTCTACTGGCCCACGCTCTTCAAGGACGCAGATGCCTTCGCACGCAGGTGCGACCGATGCCAGAGGTCAGGTAACATATCTGCCCGTGATGAGATGCCCCAGAATGTGTTTATTACTTGTGAGATTTTTGATGTCTGGGGTATCG